TACATTTCTTAGGGGACAGATGCTCTATAGAGCATGCAGAGGATTAGTTGAGGATATTTGCTTTCATTTTATTTGTGCTCCTTTATAACTTGAAAGTAATACTGAGAGTTAAGCCTAAACAAAGAGCACTGCATGCTTTTGACGCGGCTTTCACATGGATGGTTACACTTTTTCCAGTATTCATAGACTACACGTTTTTGTGAAACACAGGTCCCTTCCCAAGGCCGAAGTTGTTCTTCAGTTACGTTATCTCTCTGGTATTCACACTGAGCTGCTGGATGAAATTAAGCCAGTGATTTTTGTCTCTCTTTTCTTCCAGGTTTCAGGGTTTTTATGTTTACACAACACAGTATTTGGTACAAGGTCTGTTTCTTCCCATGTTCGGTCACAGCCACATACCACCTGCCCTTGACTCACGAGCAGCTATAAAACGTGCCCCTGCCCATACGTGTTCTGGTAAACGAGGTGCTGTGAGAGAGGTGTGTTCATGATGGGGACACTCCAAATCTACCTATGGCAATAAAAACTAACTCTTTAGTGTAGGACAGTTGGGCATCTATATGTTAGGAAGAATTTTTGCCAGATGTGGTTCGATTTTTTTGGTGTTTGTTTTTGGGGAGGTTTGGGGGTTTTTTGGCTTTTTTGGGGTTGGTTTGGGTTTTTTTATCCTTCTTCTTTACAGAGCTTTCTTTACTGAGAAAAGCTGAAGATACCTCACTGGCTTCAGTATGAAATGCAAAATGTTTTGTTACTGAGTAACGCTCACCATCACAACCAAGTGAAAAGGGGCTTCCACAAAGAAAAGCCTCAAACAGTAAATGTGACATGACAATATTTATTGATTCTAATTATGGTTAAAAAAAGTTCACAGCTGTCAGATAAAAATATCTGCAGAGCCTATTGAAAAGGGAACTTAAGAAGGAAACCAAGGGAGACAGTCACCACGGAGGCACTTGAGAAAATGCTACAGTTATAAAAGGCACAAATTCATCACACACACAGCATATATATTCCTGCAAAGTGAAGTCACTCTTTTTTTCCAAAACACAGAGGCAGGCATCACTGAACACTGACCTGTACATGACCACAGGAGACACGCTATAAGCGGCAGTCTATGACAACGCCTAAACGATTTGACTGTAGATACTTTGAAAGCAAGACTGCTTTGGCCATCTCGTTTTTATCTCTGTTGAAGAACAGATTGTAAGATCAAGGTGATCTTAAGGTGGTGGAGATGGCAGAGAGAATGTTAGTCCATTTAAACACAGGTCAGGTTTATTTGTGAGCATTTGTAATCTGCGATTTAAGTGGGTTCGCTTCTTGCCTGAGAGCAGTGGCAGATCTGTTGTCATTTAATCCTGGCTCCCTTTTGCATCCAAGTACTTTTGGAGGTCATACAATTCCTTCTTCCTCAAAAATATTTTTCTTTCATAGAATCATAGAACTCATGTCTCAAAAAAAAAAAACCAACCCCAAAACTTAAAATTTCTGCACTTCTGTAAAGTCTACCTCAGCAAAACAATAGCCCCAGTGAGGACACAGGAAGATTATTTTAATAGAAGTCTCTAGCTTCTCCTCCAGGCCCTGGGTTCCAGTGATGGACAATGCTCAGACATATACTTAATTGTGATTAATGTCTTTGTTGTATGGACAGCAGATGTGCTATTTGGAATCAAGATCTGCATTGAGAAAAAAAACGCACTAGTTAAAGGAAAGACAAGGGGCTGCCTCAGATTGCTCACTTCCTTGTTATTGTCGAGTAGTTTATACAATAAGCTTTCAAGTACTTTGGTTACCACAGATTTTCATGCCATGACCCAACATCCTTTGCAATATAGTTGCTATCAGAGCAGTGTACAAGCAAGTAAACCTCTTTTTTTTTTTTTTTTTTTTTTGCAAACTCTTAAGAGCCTTACAAAATATGCGTGATAACACAAATCAGTTCGTAAGAGACAAATACAATTAGTTCCATGGTTGTTCCTATAATACATTTTATGAAGCTGGTAAACTGCTGGAACTTTCATGATAGCAGATTTCTCATCAAGCATGTTAATAAATTAAGAATATAGCATGACTGGTTACGCGTTAAACCAGACTTCATTCCTCTCTTTGAAGGGTTACCATGAAGGAATTTTAAAAATGTAAGCCAGTGCTAACAGTTCCCTCTGCCCATGGGGAAGCAACTTTATTCTCTACCTACATTTGCCAATTTTCTCATCACACTGGCATCCACATACACAAAGTGCCATATATTCCTTTTATGTGGAAGATGTCGAGAAAACAGCAGCAAATCCTTTTTAATCCCATAGTGGTGCTAAGCTCCACAGTGTAATCATAGCAAGACACAGCTGTAAAGACAAAGAGAGCATTCCTAATGCTTTGGCAGTCCGGAAAGAAGAAGACAAGAGACTTTTGAGTGCTAATACAGATGTTGCAATTCAGACCTCCCAGCTCCATCAGATTTGGCTAGAAATCTCAGGGGATCCAAATTTAATTTGAGATTTCAAGTCACACCTACTTTTAGTTGTGGCAGAATAACATGAGAAATGCTTTGTGGGTTTTTTTTCCATTTTAGTTTCACTTTGAAACTAAGAATAAGTAAGGCTTATATACACTTTTTTTTTTTTTTTTAATTGACCAATCTCATGAAAAGCTTTGGTTATGATTCAGTTCAGTTCTAACTATACCTAACTATTGTTTTTCCTTGGATTTTCTGCCCCTGTGGCACACAACATTTTCTTGTTAGACTGGGAAAAACCTCTGCCAGATTGAGGAGCAAAGAAGAGAGATACAAATTTTGGATGTGAATAAAACCAATTTATCCTCATTAGTCTCATGGATCTGCTCCCCTTCAGAGACCTGCAGAGTATTTCTAGGGCAGAAGCAGGACTTGAATTCCAAACAGTTTTGGCAGAGAAATCATCTACAAAAGCAGCAGTTCTTTATATGTTAAGTATAAAGAACGTCGTCTAGCACTTACAAATATTGGGCCAAGACTTTAAAAATGTCTTCGCAAATTTAGGTTCCTATATTTATTTCTGCCCTGAGAATTGTCTGAGTTGCAAAAGCTCTGAACTTACACAGTTCCGATTCAGCTTTCACTTCCTAATTCATTTAGTCAATAAATCACACAGAGAAGCCACGTAGAAGCACTCTGTGCTAGGCAAATGTCCCAGCCAATTAGTGCTCTATGTGATACAATGAGAAAGGCCATATGTACACTGCTGCACTGTTCTTCTGACTTAAAGATCTTTATGTCTGAAAAGTTCCCCTATGCATTTTAAAAGGCTGTTATGAGGATATTCATTTGTGATAAAATCCAAGCTGCTGCTACAAGAAGATCTTCAACTGGCACATCAAGTTAAAAAGAATGAAACCTAAGGGCCAGAAACCAATGTGCTGCTCACAAATATTACAGCTTTACAAGTAGTTCAGTGGATTTCCATGGGACTATTTGGAGAATGAAGTACTACTCTGCGCAAGCAAGATCAGATGCCAGCCCAAAAAGTCTGCCTGAGACTGGTGATACAGCTCCTCTATTGTCTGCTCACACCAGTTGATGAATATATTATTGTACTTCCCTCCATGGCTTTTTACTGCAAGGTAACTTTTTACATATAAATCGGCACTGGTTGAAGGGAGAAGTGCAGCAAACAGGCTCAGAAAAATTAAAGACATCGCAAACTTCATGTGCACCAAATCCTGTTCTCAGTTATATGTGCATCTTCCTGTTTTGTGTTGTGCAGATGTAAAACAGCAGAAACACCTAGAACAACGTACCGTCGTGTTGACAGGCAGACCGCTAAGGATTTGGTGGTTGGGGTTTTTGGGTTCTTTTTCTTTTCTTCTTCTTTTTTTTTCTTTTTTTATTTTACATTGTTTCAAAGGTACCAAGCTAGGGAGGGCAGAAGCACTTGCATGTGACTATCCTATCCATGGTTCTCTTTGATCTCTCTATCATTTAGATCCTTGATTAGTTACCAGAAGTGCACAGTCAGTACAACACAGCACAGCAGGCAGAAGTGGAAGTGCTAATCCCATCAATATGGTTGTTAGGAGAGACTGAAGCTCTGAATCAGCTAAGCTGTGGTCAGCATGAAGCAAGTGTTGAGGGGCAGTTAAGTTGGGGTTTTTTGTTGGTTTGTTTTACTTTTTTAATGCTAATGCTACATTTTCAAGCCTATTGTGCCCTACCAGGCAAGTGACAGCCTCAAGGTGTTCAAAGTATAAATTTAAGTAGATGAAAGAAAGGAAGGAGATAAGAAAAAATACGTAAAAGAGTTTTTTATGGACGGCTTTACAACTTCCTGGGGTAGGCAGAGGTTAATTTGTTCTCTTGCTATCTTGCAGCAATTTAGGGAGCTAAAAGAGGACCTTGGAGGCAAAGAGATGTCAGATGGGGTGAAAAAGGTTCAAAAGGCTGTGTCTGTACATTAGCACAAGGTTCCCCGCTCACACACAGGTCCAACAGCCTGATCTGCCATACTGCTGTACACAACAGCTATAGTCTGGAGCCTGCCAGTTTTCTAGGCAGAAAAGATCTGATCCCGCACAGGGACAGACTTGACTGGGACACATGAGTTCTGCCATTCCAGGCAGTGTGAACACAGCTGGGGAGCCTGAAATTCAACCACACTGCCAAAGGCAGTAAAAACATTGTCCTTTAACTCACTGTAGGAAACGGCAACAACCTACGGCCACACTTGCATAGTTCGGATGGATACATTTAGCCTGACTTGTCCCTTAGGTGCTGCCTGGGCTCTGGACATCTGAGTGAAAAATAAGAACACTAAAAAGATCCTTACCAGCAATTTGCATGAACTAGTTAATTATTCTTTAAGCTATGGATTTCTTTTCTCAGTCTACCGCACAAGACGGCAGAAATCCTTTGTTTACAACTAGAGATGGAAGTGCCTGTGCAGACTTGCAAGTTCAGGGTCTGGTTCAGACGTAAGTGTAAAAACAACTGGAAATCTCACCAGAACAGGCTTTATAGAGGTATTTTGTCACTTCTGTTCTGAGATCTGGATAAAAACCTCAAGGTGATAACGCTTGGCAGGGTATCCTAGAAATTCAACAACCAAAGAGTTACAGCTAGAAGTAGGCCTGGATTCAAGGAGTTCTGTTTCAATATGGATCCCCTTCGATTATCCCTCCCCTCCAGCCTCTTCTCTCTACTGTTTTCTCCTCTTCCCCAGTCCTGATCTGATTTTGGTGACAAGGAAGTACATGCCAAAAAAAATCTCAAAAAAAAGAAAAGAAAACCGTTCAAGTGTGAGACTTTGCATTGGCACCTTTTTCAGTTTTGAACTAGAAGTCCTTTTTTGTAGGCAAATAACCCAGCCGCAGCCACAGAGGTGAAGAAAGTGGAAAATCCAATCAGCTTTAGCAGTCCTGGCACAGATGGCAAGTTCCTCTCCCAGAAGGTTGTAGTGATGGGCAAAGCTGGAACATCCTGCGGGAAAAACATCCATTATCAACACAACATCTCCACTGTGAGTGGCAGGATGTAAATCAAGAGATTCTTGCGGCAGAAACAGAACTGGGTTGAAGCAGTTCATGTTATCAGGAAGTACAGCGTATCAAAATTTTCTGCTCAGTTAAAGGGATGAAGAAGAGACACATAGAAAGGATTCACAGCCCAGTTAAAAAGTGCAGCTCTTTCTGATCCCGCATTACAGAGCTGTCAGATGGGTGCCCTCTCTGAGTTTCTATCATGTTCCTGTTTAGGGAAGGGCAGTTTTAGTGAGTAAGGGAAAGTTTATTGTGGCTTTGATTTAGTGAACTTAAATAAAAACAGCCAACAAAATTTTATCGCATCAGCAAGACTGGGGAAAAAAATAATCCATTTAACCTACAGAAAGACTTACAATTGATTCAGGTTCTGGCTTCCAAATTTCACTGTCCGGGATTTTCCTCATAGCAAACAGTATCTGAAAATAAATAACATTCTCTAGTAAGTACCATTCATTCTTTGGAAGGGAAAAAGAGCTGCCTTCAATTTTTGTTTTAAAATGGCATGATGAAGGTAATTGAGCACATAAATTGCTGTGTATTCAAATTTTAAAAGAAAACTCAACCTTTGTACAACTTATTTCTGGGGAGGCCTGATATTAAAGAAGACACTCCTCCTAGAGGAAAATAGAAACAGTAACAGAAAAACCTCTCTATGCTTAGTCCATGTGAGATATTGGGACTTGACTAGTCCAATGGGAACAGGGTAATATGAATATAACTAAGAGTTAAGTATACACTCATGGCAAAGTGAGGCATGCATAAACCAGCTACTGCATGGGCGAGCTCTATAGCCAGGAGTAGCTTGCTTTGCAAATTTTACCATGATGTAGGAAGAAGAACAGAATCCTGTGAGTGATGACGGACCACCACTTTCAGACACAGAAAAGCAAGACTAAAAAGAAAACCTTCACAGTGGAAAAGTAACCATTCAAAGTATCAAAGATACCAGACATCAGCAGGATACCAAAGATTATCTGAAATGATAGTCATGAAAGACAGCAAGATTAACAACTTCTACAGTACAATAAAACAGAGGTGGTGATATTAATGTTTTTCCTATTCCAGGCACTTGTACATTTAAGAATTGCCATCTTTTGCAATAGGCTTTTGTTCTAGACAAGATTCATGGACCCCACCAACTTTTCAATACAAGAGAGTGAGAAACACCCTTGCACTAGATTTTTAACATATTTTCCTTTCACAAGTAAATGAGGAAAGGAAAACAAAAATTTTTACCAGGCAACTAACTTGCCAACTTCTCTGCTGAGGCCTACGGAGGTTCTGCTGTAATGTTTTTACATTAGAGAAGTCATGAAGCACTACCTCTGGAGGTTTTCAGGAACAGGTTAGGTATAACCTTCACAAATGGGACAGTTTAGGGACAGTTGATTCCTGTCTTCTGGGGCAGGGGTATGGGCTAGACGAACTCTCCAGATCCCTTCCAGGCGAACTTCTGTTCCATGACTGTAGTTTTGAGCCACAAGGCTCCCTTCACCTCATAAAACAAAGACAAAATTTCTTTTGCTGCTCCATAAACTGTAATATTCCTGAAAATACTTGAGGAATTGGCATTTTCTCAGAAGCAAAATATTTAAGTTCTTGTTTAATGACTTTATGTAAGGCTGTATCGATAGTCTATCACTGTGTCAATGGTATTGTTGGAAACAGTTGAGGAAGGGACTGGCTTGGTGTGCAGAGCTGCAGAACTGAGCTGTTCCTAGTCAGGCTAGTGGCCATGACCTCTCAGTACGATGACTAACAAAGTGCCCATTTGGGAGAAAAAATGACTAGGTGAGAATTTGGGATTTCTGTTAAAGAAGAAAAGATTTAATTCCTGGAAACAGAGAAGAGTTTGATGAAATAGCCAGAGCCCTTCCTAAGCATTCCAAATCTAAGTGCAAAACCTTCATCCCTTTTGAAGTCTATCCCCTTTGCAGGGATTTGCACCAAGATTTCAGAACACTTGAAGCGGTCAACACTCAGTTCCCGTTTCACCTCCAAACAGAAAATCTTTCATTTTCCATAGGATATTTGACAGTGCCCCCTGTTTTGGGCTTGCATCTGTACCTCTCTGGCTGCTCTTTCTCCAGCCTGTACAGCCCCCTCCATGTATCCACTCCACTCTGTGGCTGTCTCTGTGCCAGCAAAATAGATCCTGCCAATGGGCTGCCGAATAATCCTGGAAGGGGACAAACAGTAAGTCACATCAGCCCTATCAGGAAAGATAACTGACATTCTTGGGTTAATATTAGAATAAAAGTGTTTTAAATAACAGCGAGCACTTAAAGATAGTAACTTTGGGTGAGTTGCGCTGGAGGGGGAGTCTGCATTGTATTTAATTTCTTACAGTAAACGCACCAGTGTTCATATTTTCTAAATGTTTACACTGCTCGTAGGCGTAGAGGACAATTAGTTTGAGATGAGGCTTATTCTATCTCATTATTTTAGCCAGTGTCATAAATACCTAGGCATTACTAGCGCAGTGCAGCATTCTGAAGTACATCCCCATGATATGTAAAGTAACAAGCAAATAAAAAAATAAAAAAGGATTTGCAATAATTATCATTAAAATTACTTTAAATACTAAGGCCTCCATAGGCTCTTCATTACAACTGCTTTATTGCTCTAAGGTCTGTTTAAATTGTGAAAACTTAAACTTCAAAAGTAGGGCTATGCCACCACATTAAAAACTATGTATCTGAATCCAATCACTGGTCTGACCAGCAAGCCTTTTTCTTCTCGGTAAATCTTATTTTCGTGCACAAACTTAGATCTGAAAGGACTGTATACAATGGCACACTGATTACTATAGTAAGCCTTGACTGCTAAAAGGAAAGGAGCAGTCCAAAGAAATCACTCATTACTGTCAGTGTTGGCAGGAATCAACTCTCTGCCAGTATTTACAAAAAAACAGCTAAAGATGTGCCACAAATGGTAACACCGATTCCAAATATCCAATGCCAGTTTTGTAAACAGATTGTGAAAACTTCCCAACTCCCTTCCAAGAATCTAGTCAGCTGTATTCACCTAATAACAGACGTGAATAAAACCCCCTAATGATACTGTACTCATCCATCACAAAGCCCAGCTGAGACAAGTGGAAGGTTATAATATGTTTAAAATATTCCCCAGTGATCTTAAAGGTGTAAAGTGAACAGTGACAGAGGATTTATGACCCTTTCTGAGGATATTTATTAACTTGCTCTTATCTTACTACTCCGAAGACCACTATAAATAGACACTGTACCTTCCATACTGAGTCATTATGCCTGGTGGGAAGTAAGCTGTGTAGCAGCCCCCAGAATACTGCTCTTCACACCAGTTCTTCTCTTCATAATGCACTGGCTGTAAAACAGAGATTAATTCACTCAAGGAAAGGACAAAGTCCCGAGGAAGCTGATAAAAGAACTGAGGAGACAGCAGAGAAGAATAGCTTATGATTTGTTGCATGTCAACATCTGACAAGACAAGCACATTTAACAAGTCTCTTAATGCAGCATGGATCCAACACAATAAGCCTTAATTTTAGACACTGCTAGCTATTTTTAGAAAAAAAAACCTAGCTAATCCGGCCACTGTAGAACCTAATCCTCTTAACCTGTCAATGTAAATTTATGCTTTGAGCACAAATTTATGCTTTGAGCCACGTACAGCAAAATTAACCTCTGGTGTACACAGGTCTACTATTGTAATATGTACATTGCATACAAATATATACTGTTAAAAATGCAAAGTATGGCACTTGCATGGTTCTGCGTACAATATTGTTGAGTTTAAAATGATGTAATCTCGAGACTGGTGTCTACAACTTTTTAACTCATGTAAAATTGCCCTTAAAGAATAAAGGGTGTTGATCACTTAAACTAAGTGTGAGATCACACAAATCCTATCAGTTATTTACCATTACAGGGAAGAGATGGCAAGGGAAAGGCAAAAAGAAAAACATGTGCAGCAATGGATCTTAGCAACTAGTAAGAGAGCAGAAATATTACGCTCAACATAGACTGAGAGGAAAAGGCAAGCCTGTCACATCTGAAAAACAGTTGAGATGTATAGTGGTAAGCACTGTGAATGCCACCCATGAAGCTGGACAAGAACATATGTGCCTTTTAACTGTTTCATAAGCTCATTCTTATCCTCACTGTCAAACACAACCCAAGACTTGCCATAATCTTCTCTCCACTCCTCTACAGAGGGCAGCAAGCGCTTCGGTGGCAGGTACCTTTTCCAAAACGCTACACAGCGCTGTGCTGGAGCACTGCTGCATTCCGGTTTCATTCTGCCCTTCCCCAGCTCAACAAGTTGACATGAGATGCCGTGGTTTAGATTTTGTGCTTACATGTAAAGCTTCCTCTGATCCCAGAACTTTTGCGTAGAGCTCACACAGCCTCGTCTTCCTGCAAGAGAAAAGCAACAGAAGACTTCTGTGTAAGGAAAAAGAAAACAAACTACCTCTCATATGTCCTAATTTCAAGAGAACCAGTATTAGTATCTGCTTGAACTTGAGGTTACAGCCTTTTGGGATCTATCCTAATTGCTCAGACTCTGGATCACTAGAAATAACTCACTCAAACTCCTCTGCTGCATAAGTGCCGGTTTTACCAGCAGATATGCAAGCTGTTCCCTTAAGATACCTCTAGCAGCCCAAATTCATCTATTATCCAAAGGTTCTCTAGGCTGTCAGGAAAAGAAAGTAGTAAGGCGTTGCACTTTTAAATTGTCTTGGCACATAGTATAACTTCTGGTTTGTTCCTACGAAGATGCAGGTATTGATAGCCTGAGGCTCTCAGGGAATCAGTACTTTATTTCCGTATCTATAAAATTTCCTTCTGTTTTGGTTTATGAGTCTATAAATCCCTGAATATACTTCATTCTGTAGCAAACCCCAAGTGCAATTAAGTTTGTTCCTATAAGCTTTTGGGTCTTACTGTTTACTGTTAGCCGCACTGCACCAATTCCCAAACACAAGATCAAGATGAAATAATAGTTAACGATTATGAAAAATTGTTACAAACACAACACTGGAAAGATGTTTACTTCTGGAAGCAAATCTTGTGCTCCACAGAAAGCCATGCTGGGCACAGAAATACAACAGTTCCAGCTCTGTAACTGTATGGGCTACACTTGCAGCTATATAAGCATATGAGGAAACCGTATCTATACTGCTGTATGAAGCAACCCAGCGATACAGGAGCCCAGCTATACCCATGAGCAGCTGAACTCAAAGAACGCTACAGAAAGGCGATGAGGAGAAAAAAAAACAGGAAGACCTGAACGGCCTTGAAGAAGGTGTCCTCCTGTGCTGGTTGGGGCTTGAGCAGGAAAGTGAAGGCTGCTACAGTTCAGGAAGAGCCATGGCCCTAGAGTGATTTTGCTGCTGGCAGATGTCAAGCCCAGCAGCAGCAGAGGGGAAGGAAGTGGCCCCTTCCTTGTGCCCCAGGGCGGAGGACAAGGGTCAGCCTGCTCCAGAAGCAGAAACGCATGGTGACGCAGTGACCGGCCAGGAGGGCTCAGAGAGCTGTGGGACCTATATATGAACATCCCTCTGCAGTCAGGGGGTGACATGAATCCAGCAACAGCCGTAACAAAAGGGACCATTTCCTCCATTTCTCCATCTCTCCCTAAGTGAAGTGACCACTGTGCCCTGCAGATCACCAGCACCCACCCAGTGTCTGAGCAGAGTAAAGCCATTTTAACAGCACAATCCAGCAAAGCCTCTGCTGAGGTCTGCCCACCACCTCTCACAAATGTCCACTGGCTCCTGCTTTCAGGGCAGGTCAGTAACACCACAGGGCTCCACAGGAAAGTGAGTTATCACCTTGGGACACATCTGCTTCTGCTCCTCCCAGCAATAAGACAGGGATGAGAAGGACCCCTCTAGATCTGCCTGTGCCCTGCCCCTTTTCCACACATGACTTGCACTTGACACTTCAGGGAGCCTGGAAATGGCATACCAGAGGATGGTAGGGATTCTCATGAATGACCAACTGCAGGACTCCAAGAAGGTGCAAGTTCACTGCTGTTTGCTATCTACATTGCAAATACAGATAAAAGTTAGTTTAAGATAGCTGTGCAAAAGAAAATATTAAGCTTCAGATCAAGGGCATCTTCAGACTCAAGAAATTTCGATCTTGGAATGAATTATTCATCAATAATAAGGTATTATTTGACAGAAGAAAAAACCCACAGAAATGCAGTTTCTAAAGGATTGAATTGTACCAACAGTAACCTATCACTGAGGACATTCCCCCTAATAAGAGCAATCCTTCCAGATGCACTGGTGTCTCTGCAACATCTGCACTTTTTCTCCTATAACAGTTTAAATAAATACTTTTTATGGATTTATGGCTAATGCTAGCATGGAACGTATGGAATATGCAGTGAGTAAAATCCTTATTTTTTGGCTTTGAACTCAGCTGTGAAATTGCCACCAGCACTAAATAACAGGAATGTTATGCCTGGAGCTACATAGGTAGGGTCCTGTTGAGAGTTACACTGCACCCAGTGTGGAAGAAGAGCACATGCAGACACTCAGCTCTTCTCCCTGGTCTGCTATTCCACAGCTGTGTGTGATGCCATCACCTTTGTTGCACAGCTGTGAAAGGTAGGGCACAATCTAACCACTGTAATTACTCATTGGCACCTGGCCTGGGAAGACGAGCTGGAAGGCAGAAGTGAGTTTTACTCCCTTCAGTCTGGCTTTGGCTGTAAAATGGTTTCCATCCCCTCCCACAACTGCTGTTCCCAGTCATGATTTAGGACAGCTGCCACGGACTCTACATCCTACTGTTCATATCCAAGGATTACCAAAAACCTTACCCTGTCATCAACACGATAAAGGGAGAGCCCAGCTTGTGTTGACAGGCGAGCACAGCATCTCAGCAAGATGCATCCTTTGTAGGGTGCCACAAGAAGTCTGTCCTGAGAAGAGATCCCTCCCTCAAAACACCATAGCCCCCATCTAAAGGACACAAACTGGTTGCACCCTGAGCATACACTGGGACAAGGCCCAGGTTTGTGCTTTGCCTTCTCCTGGAGCCCAGTTTCCACTGGAAGGAGACTTGTGCTCATGTGCAGGAGAGGAGCTGCAATGCAGCCCAGCGGGTTCCTGCCTTGGCTGACTGTGACCAAGACTTTAGAAGCCATAGGCACCCCTGCCCAAGGGTATCTCTATCAGATACCACCCAAGCATATTTCATAACCTTTCTTTAACAAAGCAAAGTCCTTCCTAGTCTAAGGTTTATTCCTCACAATAAAAAAAGTTCAAAATCCCTTATTTAAATCTTGGCCATAGGCAGCGGCAGAGTCAGATAATTGTGCTAATGTTTTTAACACCCAGGGAAAAGCAACCTTTCCTTCATGGTGCTATGCAAACAGCCAGGACAGCCCTTCATTTCACAGAAAGAGAAGCTGTTCTCAAATACTACAAATGGTCAGTTGTATCTAGTGTATTGACACACAGCATAAGACACCATTTGGTGTTTATGATGGCTTAAAATGCTAGGCACACTGGATTTCAGAATACCTACACTACTTTTATTGTCAATCACCTGCTGGGGGTCTATCTCAAAGCCTGAGTGCTGAGGAAAAGGCTGCCTTGTCCATTCCCACCAAAACTAAAAGTGCCCTGTGGTACCAGGCTGTCATTTGAAAAGACTGGGACATTAACAGCCCCATTTAGACCCATTATCCACAGACTACTAGACTACCCGCAAAGCTAATCTGGGATGACTACATCTTCTTTAGTTAGACTCGCTATTGCTGTAAAAATGTTTACTTGGACACAGTGCTCCTTTAAAAACAAACGTATTTTCTCCATGCCAAAATAAGGCTCTCCTCACATCCACACTCGCTACTTGTAGCTTTAATTTGATCAGATACTGTGAATCAGTGTGATGGAAAAAACTCATTACTTTGTTATTTCTATTTTAGTAATAAATAAAAGAGCACTACTGTATGAAGACATTTGTTTCAACAAGACAGTAAAAAAGACCTTCATCTGTGCCTGAAGGGCATTTTTTCCCATAACTGAGGGTAGAGAGCTGGAGGCAGCTTTTTGACCCCTTCACAATGTGGAGGTCTCGTTCATGGCAGCTACAGCAGCCCCAAGGTTGCCCTAAGTTACAGACACTGAAAGGACCCTCCAGGATGATTAGAAAAAAAATCAAGCACAGGAGCCAAGCCTGTGCTTTCAGAGAGCTCAGCGCACTTGCAAGAAGCCAGAGGGGTAGCAGTGCAGAGGGATGAGGCTGGCCCTGGATGCTTTCCGTGAGGGCAGCAGAATATCCACAGTACTGTCATGGTCAGCACCTTAGAGCAGTTCTTTTGCCAGAGTCACATAAGCAGAGCAGCCCTGCTGGAAAATGAGAAGCAGGACTTGAGAGTGTCCAAAGGGCAGGGGCTAGCTACCACATCTGCTGCTTGTTTGTGGGAATTCTGTGGGGTCTTCATTCAAAAACAAATAAGCGATCTTCTTTCTCAAAGTGACATGTCCTCCTACTGTTGCAAAGTTACAGACAACTTCCTTCAAATCAGGGCATTTTTTTCCTGCTCTGGTCATTAATAACAAAAGTTTGATTCAGATTCCATGCAGATCTCCAATACTTACCTTTCTTCTTTTGTGAGAACTGTCAGTCTTCTACACTTCCGAGCAAGAATGAAGCTGTAAAAAAAGGAAGACCACAAACAATTTACTTCCATCATGTTACTACATTTCCTGCATTATTTAAAATGCCAATACCTTATGATGAAATGCTTGTGATTCATAGTATTAGCTTTTGGGTCTCTATCCAAAATATCCATTTCACCTCTCTGCATAACGTTATATGCTATGCCTGCTGCTTGCAGGACTCGCTGTGGAAGGAACCACTCTGAGATTCAGGTTAGAATATTTGTATAAGCTGTTTCCCAATGACCTTAATTTTATACACCAGTGCATGCAGGCATATAACAACAAGACGTGAAGCCTGGGATTGAGCTGGAAATTATTGTTAAATAAACCTTCTAAGACTGATCATACTCTCTGGCTGTTTAAAAAAAAAAAACAGAATAAAACAAAATATAATTCTAGAAAACAAATTTTCATTTAAAGAACTGGAAGATTTGGGAGAGGCAAAATATTTGGAGAAAACTTTACATTTCTGCAATCACTCCCTTTTTTCTTCTCCTTCCTTTCCTCATCTCAAATTTCGTATTTTGCCACACAAAAAGGCAAAAGATGACAGTGAGAAAAAGAGAAGAAAAATAGAATTTGATTTTTTAAAATTAGCAATTAAATCGTAGGGAGAATTTTTCTGAAAGTAAAGTTCATGGAACATATTCACCACACACTGAGAAACTCAACTCTTTGACTATTTTAAAGTATTTCCCTTCAAAAGTAGCAGGTTTTCTGTTTCAATTGTTGCCTCTAAGGCAAAATAAAAAGGCATTAACTAGACACCTTCTTTGTCTCTTACCCTATTATGGCAGGAAAGCTGCCATCAGGCTTAGTATCGTCAAGTGTTAAACCAATTGGAGCATCTTCATCTTCAATGATCATGGTACCACAATACCCTGGTAAGCACAAAGTGGAAAAGAAGCTAGGATCCATGTATCCAAATGCAGGAACAAGCTTCCAAGAAGTTGTGAAATACTCATAACTTGACTGGAAAAAGCCCTGAACAACCTGATCTAAATTCATCCTGCTTTGAGCAAGGCACTGGACTAGATGACATCCAGAGGTCCCTCCCAATCTCTGTCATTCTCCGATTCTATGATTCTAATGTAGGGAGATATGAAAACGAAGGACAGAAGAACAAAAAAATCAAGTAAAGTGACCCCCATCAATTGACAAAGATTAGCGCACAGCTCCCTAGCAGTGTAGTGTTTCTTTGGCTCAGAGAAGTGCTAGAACATCTCTAGAAGAGAAAATTCAGATCTGAGATGTGCTGACAATTAACAATACTTTTCAAGCATCTTTAAAACAGGAAGTCAATAAAGGAATCTCCTATCATTGAATTCATGACAGAAAAATAAATTATTCCGCAACCTGGTTAGCAAGGAAATTATTAATTGCACAGAAACAGGTTACTCTCAGATACTGAAGATGTTCAAGTGCCTCCAGCACAATTGTTTCCGTATATGACATTTATGTCACACACAGAAGGAGATATTTGTACACTGTTTTGAAAACACAATTGTTCTTGAAAGAAGAGTTTGAAGAAAATAAATTTTCCTTAAAAAAAAAACCAACAGTGTTAGCAAAGCACAGTATGCAAACTATGGGTTCTACCAGGAAATGGGAGTCACTTCTTGCCAATCCATCCCAAACCCAATAGCCAGAATAAGCCAGGATCCAGAACTCTTAAAATCATTCACAGAGATGAAGGGTGGATGACATTTGTAGACACACACAGATATGGACTCTTTATAACCAGTGAAGAGAAATTACATTGCAGATTGTCTTAGATTCAGTAAGTTCTAAAAGAGATCTGAGGAATCATGATGGAAGTATTCAGCGTGTAAAGGGAGTGCAGGATGGCTAGCCCAGCTGGGGACGTCTCTGTGAAGACACCTTAAATTAATCCTGCCCAGTGCATCCATAAGGCAGAGTTTTCGCAGGCTGATAACTAACGGGATGAAACCTCTCTCCATCACATACCAGTTGTACCTTTAGATTACCGTACAAGTGGGAGAGACTCATCTCATACCCAGGTGCCACTGAAGGAAAAGGAGAGGACAACAAAGAACAACCAAGGCAATAAGCAACAGACGTGAGTTCTCCCTTCATGCCTACTTCCTCCTTTTTGTTCTCCCATCCACCCTCTCTTCCCAACTGATCTCTCAAGTTTCTCAAACAGGGAAAGGCAAAAATGGCATAGAAGTATACAAAGTCTCCTTCTAAGGTCCAGCATCCTCTAAACACAAAGTCTACTCAATTACCATGTACTTTCTTCCCTCTCTCTGTAACTACTATTCCCTTCAATTAAAATGTAATACCCTTCTTTCTCCAGAAAGTTTCCTTATAGTACACAATGCACTTGATGACTGAGCCCATGGGGATTCGGTTGATGAGCTGGTTTCTCATTGGTGGCAAAGGTGGGTTGAAATGAATCTTCAAACCAAGAGCTGGGGGAATGGCACTGATCACATATTTGCCCTGGAAAAGAAATTATACATAAGCCAAATACATTCTTCACTACTTCATCCTAAGTATATTGCTCTAATGATCTTGGCAGACATCTGGGGAGGCTGCAGGGTGTATCTTCTGAAGGAATTTTGGCATTTAGCATAAGAATTGCAAAACCCTCAAAAAATCCTAGTGGTTAAACAACAAACAAGCATTATATAAACAGCCATCTGTTCCAATGATGGGCAGCTGCTCTTTCCCCAGTGCTTGAAAAAAAGCCAGTGGAAAGATTTTCAGTGTTACAAGAGTCCATCGGTCTCTCTTCCATCTGGATTCCTCTGTTACAACTTGGAAGCAAGGCCTGAAATGTTTTTTACAGAAAGTTACTAAGCTACATTTTTGTATTCACCTCACAACTATCGTTTCACTCAGAAAGTAACTGAATACTAAGAAGAGATGCTAGTGAAGGAAGAGGTTGAATATACACTTTGCTTTCCAGGCATCACTTGAAAACTCTATCATTGCTATTACTCAGGGACAATGAGAAAGTGTGACTTTCTGTCATAGTCACTTTAACCTCTGCTACAGTTTTGTACAGGAGTTTTGAGAAGTCAGAAGGGAAAAGCTAAAGGTTTTCAAGCCATCCCAGTACAAACAGTTGCTTAAATGTTTCATTACCTCATATAATTCATGATCTAAGGTTTCCACTATGACGCTTTCACCCGACTGGTCGATGCGGATAACTGGCTTCCTCAGCTTCACCCGGCCTCCCAGGCGCTCCATTATTTTCTCACTGATCTGGCCAGAGCCCCCAACAAACTTCCTCTCCTGAAACACAGAAAACAAGAACTTGGCAAAGCAGAATCAGCAGATCAATGCATGCAAAGCATGTATCACGACAAACGTTTTGTTTGGCATTCAAAACAAAGCCCATTCTTCCGTTGTTATCAAACCTTTTTGGGGAATTTCAGCAGCCTCACTTGGAAAACGTATTTATGTTCGGTTCTCTTTCAGTGAACCTCTCAAACACTCCCAGTACTTCACCATCAGCCAAAATTAGAAGTATCAGTAACCTCATGAGAAAATGCCTTCTCATGTGGTCTCCAAATGGATTCCACAGACCTGTGTGAATCAGCAAGACTTCTAAAAAGTGCTTAAACTTTTAAACCTTTCTGAGTTCACTATTATCCCTGCAGAGGTCTGTGCATCAGAAGCAGGAATCCTGATCCTCATAATAAATAACAAGGTATAAAGAAGTGACGTAGCTCACACCAAAAACGTATCCTGCAGCATAACCTAACTTAAACGCAAAACACCTCTAACATAACACAGAATTCAAATAATATGTTATGCAATGTATATACAGTTAAATTAACTATAATTATCAGTTATCTATGCATATTTATGCATTTTAACAAGTTTTCATGTATTCTTTGTATTATTAGTTATTTATGATTAAATAATTTGCATTGCTAAAATAGAATTATTTCTAATATAATTAGTAAAATTTGCATTTCTCAAGTGTAAGACCATTAACAGTCTTTACTTTCTTGAAATGTAGAAGCAGCACTAATACACCAGATTTCAAACATTTCAGAGCAATGCCATATTGAGGCAGGGTGTTTGTTTTCTTCAGACTGATTTTAAAATCTTAAGTTTTAATCCTGGGAGCTAGTGTCTTTAGGAACCCAGTTCTGGGCTACATTTTCAGTATTAATTTGGAGCACACTACACACTCGTGTATTGCCATCCCAATTAAGTGCTTCTGAAGTGGTAAGGCTTGCTTCAGCCTTGTGACAGAAATAAGCAGAATACTTTCTTTTTTTAAAGTGTAAAAGCAAAGTACGTGTTCTAACCAGAGCCCAAAATTAAGCCAGAACCAGGAACTGATACAAATCTACCGATCTCTGGGCCAATGCCTTCAGCACAGGAATAGCCTTCAACATTTGTTTTGCAAGATCCAGATTAATGTGTACGCGAATAGAACTAGTTATCAATGTGCTACTGGCTCAAAATCATGGATGTCTCAGTTGGCCCTCTGAACTAAAATAAACAAGCAAAAAAGGTGAAGTTAAAACAGGGCCTAACACAAGCTGCAGAAGGTGATGGCTGACAGTACCTGCCCTCCGTTGGTTGTTGAGAATATCCTTGCTGTCCCCCCACACTGCTTCACGTACCACAAAAACCAAAGGGCAGAGACCTCGTGGGGTTCAGAAGTGACATCCACATTCACAAACAGAGTTGCAAAACTCTTGGCAGCACTGCAACAAAGTGAGTTAATTTAAAAACTGAAGAAGGGTGACAATCTTGTTCTTTAGTAGGAGACAGACTATCTTTGACAACATCTTCTTTCACAGAGAGCAATGGATTCCTTAATTTCATTTGAAGTAGGAAAAAATATAAATTCCTTTTATGCAACATTTTTCAAAAAAATGTTAATCATGCACTGCTGTACCTGTCCCTCAAGCACACAGCATAAGGGTTATTCAATATTTGTCATAAAAAAGTTAGGGATCTTGTCTAAGCTAATTATCTAAGCTCTCCGGATTAGTCAGCATCCCCTCACTGTCTGCTCCTCTGCTGTGCTCAGGAAGGGTGCTGCAGCTGGAACACAACAAGGAAAGAAATGTAAGTAGGAAGCCATAAGTGAAGAGACAGCACATTAATGCAAAAATCTGGCAAGAAAAGGTAAAGGATACTTTTGGTTGCTCAACTCAGTATTTTAAACAGTGGTCTGGTGGCCAGTGGTGGTGAACACAGAAGTGGAAAAGTGGCCTGTGTCTGAAAAAGGATCACTGCTTTATGTCCTCCAGTTGGTGCTTTCATAACAGCTCTACTGAAAATCCACTGAAAATTACTGTATAAACCTGTACAAGATTTTGGGGTGCACTAAGACAGAGTTAATTAAGGCTCAG